ATATATATATATATATATATGTATATATATGTATATATATATATATATATATATATATATATATATATATATATATATATATATATATATATAGGCCTATATATGGGGGCCCAAAAATTTTTGTTGCGGGGTGGCCCTTTTTTTCTAGTTCCGCCACTGCTCTTACATAGATTAAACAAAACCCTCTTTTTCAATTATGTTATGTGCTTATTGTGTATATATAATAAGTAATACAATAGCAGTATAGTGGAATATGAAAGGATACTGTTTATAAAGCTACCGCGGTTAATAAATCTAATATGTTTAAACAAATCATTGATAGCTTATTTTTTAAAACCTAAGTGAATAAGTTAACACATTTTATTTATTTTAAAAAAAAAAAAACTCTTTCACACTTTCAGCAAACTAAACCAAATCTATTGGTACGTGCATACTACATCAAACCCATTTTTAAACAAAATATGAAACACAATTTTAGAGAAAACAAATAAACAAATGTTTATACGTTTATCTGAGAGAAAAAAAATCGTTTCAACACACAGACCTAGATCTACACCATTTTACGATGACTAAGTAATCAAAACTGATTACACATAGTCATGTCTAAGTTAGATAAATAGGCCGCGGAGTTGTAAGCACGCAGACCTGACGTCATGTTACTATATTTGCTCAGGATGACTCGAACATAATAACAGTCAATCTCAATTGAAAATCTCAATTCGGTGTTGAAATCCCCCTGCTTTACATTACTTCAAGCCACGCCCATTTTCACTACTTCTCGCCCCTTGCTTGGTGACACATAGGTCTAGTTGGCCGTCTCGCGCTGATAATCTCAAGGTACGTCTGCGGCGGTGTCCCATTTAGGCAAAATAAAAAAATAGGTATATGATACGTTGGGATGTAATGAACTAATGGAGGAGTAGGGGCGGAGTGGGAACGGCAACACATTTTACAATACGTAGGTCAAGGGAAGGAATAAATAATTTACACTTAGAAATATAGAATTATCTAGAACAGCACAGAACATCTATAATTAAATATAGGCCTAAGTCATCGGGTTTGAAAGAAAATTTAATCTTAGATCCGGCGCTAGGGGGTGGCAAACGGGGCGATCAGTCCAATTACAATAGGGTATCTCTTTACAGAGGCGTAGCGAGGGGGGGTGCGGACCGCACCGGGTGACACCATTTAGGGGGGTGACACCAAGGCAAAAAATAGCAAAATATATAGAGAAAATTTGAGGGGGGGGGGGTGTAAATCGAACGTTTGAGGGGGGGTGCACATCGAAAGTTTGAGGGGGAGGGGTGCAAATCGAAAGTTTTTTTTTGGGGGGGGGGGGGGAGGGAGTGCAAGTCGAAAATTGAAAGTCTGTCCCCGGGAAGGGTCGCTACGCCTCTGGTGCCGCACCTGGTGAGACCCGACCTCGCTGCACCACTGTTTACGTGTTTTCCAAATTTAATTCCCAGCGAGGTGCGACACTGTTTTTGTATCGAATTACGGCTTTTCCCAGTTCAGGTGGGTGATAACTCACTAACATCAACCGTGGTCTCAGTTATAACAATCAACAACGTCGGCATTCGACCATTTAGTTTTCCCCAATTGAATTCAGCAGCAATTAATTAAGTTTACAAACTAAGTCAGAAAACAATGACAGTGCTGAAGCGCGGGGCCCCTTCAAGCGCGGGGCCTGGGGCGATCGCCCCGTTTGCCACCCCCCCCCCCCCACGCCGGTTCTGCGAATTACATAACTGTCAAAAGATTAAATATCTTAGCAAGAAAAAAAACAACTAAGAACATTTGGTTTAAAACGTGGGAGAGGTAAACATCTGTTATTAAAGTGAGAAGTTTGGCATTATCTTATTAACTCCAAAACATTTATGTGTTATTATGTGTGCATGCATATTATATATATATATATATATATATATATATATATATATATATATATATATATATATATATATATATATATATATATATATATAAAGCAGGCCCCGCACGTAAGGTTGGGCCTAGGCCCCGCTTCTTCTGTTAATCTTGATACATTTTAAAATCGAATTTTACAGCTATATCACTGTTCTACGGAATCGTTAATAACAAATATGAACAATTAACCTAAGAAGTTTTGTTTTAGACATAGATCTAAATAAATGTTCTAATTATAGTGTTACTCAGTGGCGTAGCGAGGTCGGGTGTCACCCGGTGTGGCACTTAATGGCGTCACCCCCCAGAGGCTATTTTTGCCTTGGTGTCACCCCCTAAATGGTGTCACCCGGTGCGGTCCGCACCCCGCCCCCCCCCCCCCCCTCGCTACGCCTCTGGTGTTACTGCGTATGAAATATTTATTTTAAAAAAAATATACATCTACAAACAGCATCTTCGAGTCTTAGTTAGGGAAATGCGACATTGACCAAGAAAAAAAATCCGAGTTACAGCAAAAATCTAGAAAAAAAAATTTGCTTCGACCTTTGAACACCACACTAGCTCCTCATAGCACAGTATAATAAAATCAGTACCACATCATTCCCTTTGTGTTAGATCTATATAATTATGTGCAATATCCCAAGATGTGATGATAGGCCTAAGTGTTTCAAGTATAAGCTTCCTAAGTTCGACAACTCTAGCTTGAAACTTTCAATACATGTTTGATTTGTTACCACCAAAAATCACTAGATCTAGATGTTTAGCATAATGTGAAAAGAATAACGCAGACGATAAAAATTAGCCATAGACTCTCATATGTTTTCAATGGGGCAATACTTCCACAAATAATTAGTTTTAATGACCAAAATACGATTGATAAGAAAATCAAAAACACTTGTTAAGAAGAAAGTTTTTAAAATAAATAATAACATCGAGTTTGAATTAGAATACTGTGAGAACCAACCAGCTTGTATGTAGTGTGTGTGTGGGGGGTATTATTCTTTATATTAGGCCCTATCTAATATCTTGTCCTAAATTAAGCGTGGGCCTATATTAATCCTACATGCTACCTCTTACACTGCGTTTACACATGCAACATGCATACCCATACATGTCTAATAAAAACAAATTGCAGCAGCAAGTTAATGTTTGGCCTAGATCTATTTGAAAACATTTTCCTCGCGGAACATGTATACTAGGGCTTGCTGCGAGTTTTTTTTTTTTCAAGACGTATAGATCCAGGCCTTTACTCTATTGCTTAGCCCTACATGTCGAGTGTGTGTAGTGTTAGTCACAGTCTTAGTGGTAACAGAGTTTCTTCCAGCCCCCCCCCCCGAACAGAGTTTCTTCCAGGCATCTCTTCGGGGGGGGGGGGGGGGAACCCCTGAAAAAATTCTACCGCCCCCCCCCCCCGAACGAAATGAAATTTATATAGAAAATATATACTTTTACTAGTGCCCCCCCCCCCCCCCCCCCAAAGTCTGGAAGAAACAACTGGTAACAAACAATTTTGTAGTCCACAATTCTAACTTAAATTATTAATTAAGAATATTATATTGTTGTTTGCCATGTACATTAAAGAGACAATTTTTTATTGTACAGCGTGACAAAGTTTCAAGCTGAAGGAGCCGAGAGAGAGATGGAGAAAGAGTAAAAAAAAATAAAAATAAGATCTGTCAGGTACATGATCGATTCACACACCGATTGATGAAGATGGTAGTTGTAATAAAGAGCTCTTCCACAGTGAAAGCCAGAATACTACACTATGTATACAACACACCCCGCATCATTCTACTTTTGTAGGCAACACAAGTGATAAGCCAAGCCCAGTATTCACGCTAAACACTACAATATTGTATTATTATTATTGATACTGGAAACACGGAAAACCACTGTCTGGCCTACAGTCTACACGCACTTACACAGATCTAGATCTAGTACAAAATAGTTTTGAAAATAGAGACTTTTTATATTGGCCTACTCATATTAATAAATTGGTAATCGGTAATCTATCGTTTTGGGTACGTAAAATCGCCCGCGACTAGTAATGTGAAAAACAGGTGACTCCTTACATTTTAATAATTATTTCACATTTCGAGGAGGATTTATGTTTTAAAAATACAAAAATGTTTCCTTGTTTCATTTATGTACCTGTTTTTAAACTTTAAACAATTGAATCAAAACTTTTCAGTAATAAATGAAGACTAGCGATGTTTCCAACAGATGCAACCATGCTCATTTACTATAGCAGCCATCTTGTTAAAGTTTTATTTTTATAGACTTAAAGCGCAAGATTCAGGCGGAAGTCACTCTATTTTACAAATGGCTGCTGTTTATATAGGAAATCTTGCTTGCAGACACTGCTGTTTAAAGTTAATTTCTGGCCTATATTGATATATTTAGCCATTGATTTAGGTTTATTATTCATTTATCTATAATATTTGACACAAACATATCACAATATACTTCTATTACAGCCTTGACAATGAGGTAACGTTTTCGTACATTAGTAGCCGCGGGCGATTTTACGTACCCAAAACGATAGATTACCAATAAATTATAATTATTTTATTAGAATATTTATTATTTACTATGTATTACTACTATAGTACTTAGCCTAGAGGGGCCTAACTTAATTTATTAATTTAATTTTAAATTTATTATAACTCTAGTAATTAATTATTTATTACTAATAATAAGGCCTACTACTTTAGTTAGTACTAGATCTACTAGAGTACTACTTACTTTAGCTTTAACTTTATTCTTTATTTATATTAATATTTTACTAGGCCTATAACTATAGGGCAGGGGCCTATAAAATATAACTTAGCCTATAGGCATAGGCCTAACATTATAATTATTATAATTAAACATAATATATTTATTATATATTAGGCCTATATAATGTTTAATTACATTAGTGAGTAATAACTTTTAGTCTTTTAGTACTAAATATCTACATTGGTGACATAATTCATGACCTATACTATAACTATATGGTTTATGATAGCATATGTGTCATGACGTCAAGAGTTCCATAATATAAAAATGTTCTGATATGATACATTATCTCGCTCTGGTGCACTTTATTTAATTACTATGTCATGCTGTGATGCAGCAGCTAATTCTATACTCCATACTGACAAAATCTGATCACAAATCATGTAAATTGTGAGTCAAGTGTGTGTCTTGACTTCCGTTGAACCCCTGAAACTCACCAAGCCCCTGTTGTTTGATCAAACCAAGGCTAGGAACCACTAAACTAGACCTATATACTAGCCTATATAATTAATATGTTACTAAGCCCAAAAGCAATGAATAAAAGAAAATCTGGAAAGCTACTGCTTAAAAGTAATTGTAATCTTATTCATCTGTCAATATGTTTTTTAAATTTTCCTCTCACTTCAACTCAACCTCTTGTGATAAGTGGAGTTGTTATAAAAAGTGTTTTAAATAAAAAAAAAGCAACCTATCATAAAAAATAAAACTTTACAGAAACATGAAATTATATTCAGCTTTTTTTCTTCTGCTAGTTGAAGTGCTGTATTGAAAAAGATAATAAATAGTATTAATGTCTGCATATACAATGGTTAATGATTATCTTTCCTAAAACAGACCTAAGGGACAACACTCAGAGAAATCAAGTTCAATAGCCTCATTAACATAAATTATCATTAGGGTGACACCTGTTCATTCTCTACATAATTATTAACATAAAATGACATCAATACCGGACCAGGTAAGAATATACTACCTCTAGTTTACTTGCAAACAAAATCTTTAGTTTCCTATTTTTTTTCTTTGTTTTGTTTTACCAACTATTCATAAAGGGGAACACATTTAATACTAATTTTGACATATTACTTAATTTAATTAACAGGAGCTAGAATACCACTACTCACCTAGCCAGTGGTCTCATAGAATGAGTCCAAATGAAGTTATAGCTGATCATCTTGATGCCCAGGCTCAAGGTTTGAATATATTTTAAAAACTAGCTAGTTTTGGTTATGAAGTATTTACACAAGCATAACATGCTGCTGGTAAATAATCTTATTATAAATAATAATCTTATTATAAATGTTTAAAAACAGTAGTATTACATACTTAAACATAATTGAAGGATAAAGTTTTGAATGTTCCTTATAAAGGCTTTGCCAGGCAGTCTTTCTTTCAGGCTTTTTTCTGGAACACACCCATCTCCCCTAAGATGAAATAAAAGAAACATTAATTTTAAATAGTAGATGTATACTTTAACCATTGTCTTCCCTTTCCTGATTGCATATACAATAATATGTAGAGATCTTTCTATTTTCAGGAAGTAAACATTCATTGTGGACATTAGACTGTGAAACAGAGATCAGCTATGGAGACTCTGAGAGACAAAAGTTGGATATTTTTGACAAGAGAAATTCTTCAAAGAAAGGTGAAACATAATTATTAAAACAAAAGTGTTTTTTTTAACACGTTTTTATTAACTCAGCTTCGCGTGGATGTGTTTGTTGTTAAAATTGACATCGAAAATTAGCCCACTTCTGATTGCTCTATAGATCTGAAATTTGGCATGCAGGTTACTTTCGCCTAACAATTTCAGATGCAATCATAAAAACTAGCAATTAGAGACCGTAATTAGCTTAATTTAATTACGCCCAAAGGACCATAAAATTGAGGACATGATTTCTAAAGATACCGACAAGACTGGAGGCTTGTTGACACAGTTACTTCGGCCCCAATCGATGTGAGCTCGCTGGCCGTGATCGTATAGTGGTTAGTACTTCGCGTTGTGGCCGCGACAACCCAGGTTCGAATCCTGGTCGCTCAAGATTTTTTTAGTCCGTGTATTTATAAACACTTAGTCAATTCATACTTAATCAAGTCATTAGATAAAGTAGAAAATAAACTATATAAAAAACTTTTTTAAAAACCACGTTTTTCATGTGTAGCAACGGACTAAAAAGGAGAAAATAAAATACTTAAAAAAAACTTTTTAAAAAACCACGTTTTTCTTGTGGACTAAAAAGTAGAAAATAACTATTTACATACATTTGATGACAAAAAACGTGGGTCGGGCAGATGGGTCGGGAAATTTGATGGTGAACGTACCCACGTTTTTTGTCATCAAATGTATGTAAATAGTTATTTTCTACTTTTTAGTCCACAAGAAAAACGTGGTTTTTTAAAAAGTTTTTTTTAAGTATTTTATTTACTCATTAGTAAGCTTTAAGTCCTAAGTTAGTGCAGTAATACTTCTTAATTGAAAAAAAAAAACATCTGTTGATGGAGTCCAGCCCAAGGGATATAACTCATGATCATTTTTAATGTAAATTTATGTAACATATGCCATCAGTAAGTAAATTAAGTTTGTAACTTGTTTCAGGTGCTCCAATAATGGTTTATTTTCATGGTGGTTACTGGCAGGTCAAGGAGCTTGGGTAAATTAATTTTTGTTGCACTTGTTTTAAGCATTTACATTTTTTATTTTGAATCTTGTTAGCTAAATTATTGCATATTTTTTTTATAATATTAGCATCATTTGCATAGCAACACTATTTGGCACATGCTCTTGACTTGTCTATGCCTATATATTTACAGGCCTATGTTTATAATAAGCTGCGATATATTCATAATTATATATAGAGGAAATAATAAGCTGCATGTGTATGCTACGCCTTCCTACCATACCAGCTGTGTCACATCTGGCATGTTAAAGCTAGATTAGTATGATAAAAAAAAAATTTTTCATAATAATTTATACTTGAAGTGCATATGAATGTTGCATTCCTATAAATTAGTGATAAGCATGTAGTTATTGTTGTATTGAATGAATGGAAACAATAGCCTTTCATACATGTTAGGGAAGATGAAATAGCATCATCTGTTTTTTGACACTTATACAAAAGACAGTGCGGTCCTGACCTTTTTGCTTTCCCCATGTATCCAATACTACTGGGTAGAGTCTATTTGAGTAGAGGCCAGGACATCTAATCTATGGACTTAAGCCCTGTGAGTGAATTCCAAACATTCACATGAACAATCATGAGCTCTGCAAGTGTGATAAAATATTTTTACACATAAACAGGAGTTTGATTTTGTAGTTGTCTCTCTTAGAGCAGCGTCTATCCCCAGCTATCCAGCCTAATCTGCATGGGGGTTTGAACTCAGACCTTTCTATTTAGCAGCCTTGAGCTTTACCGACCTGACCACGGTGACCTCCCCAATCAAATAATTTGTTTAAAAAGGGAAGGTAGTTTATTTTATTAAACTAAACTATATCTTTTCTGGTTGTGTATCATTTCAGGCGGGAAGTTTCTAGCTGTTTGGCTGTACCATTGTGCAATGCTGGGGCCACAGTGGTTGTGGTTGGATATGATCTGACACCAGATGGTATGAGATTCTTTTTTATTTTTTTTTATTTTTAAGAAGTAAAGCTCATGAGGTAGCCCTGAGAGTGGATGAAGAAGAGTTAATCTGTTTCTGTAACCTCTGCATGTGAAGCACTATGCCAGCTATCTTTGCTGTTGTTAACTCGAGTCCGGTAACCATTAGAGCTGAGTGGACTCAGGGATAAATACAATTTTTAAGCGCAGAATGAAAATCTTAAGTTGTTTCTTAATCTTAATAATGCATTTTTGTTTTTTTCATCAGAACAAAAAAATGCATGTTTTTTTTTTAATGAAGAACTATTTTTTCCCTTCAAGTTTAAGAAACTTAAAAAAATTATTATGTTACAAAATCTTACATTATTTTGTCAACATCTTTTTAACAAATAAACTGTTTATTTCCCCTTAAAAACAGTTACACTGGATACTATCATACAACAAATAAAGAAAGCCATATACTATGTGATTGATTTAGCAAAAGAGAGAGAAAGCAAGTAGGTCAAATAATTTTAAAAGATAAATTTTAAATATATTACAGTTCATTTTTGCCCCATTATGAACTATTAAAACTTTAAAATGAACTTAAATGAACAGAGGGATATATTTATCTGGACATTCTGCTGGTGGTCACCTTGCTGCTATGATGCTGATGTCAAGTTTTTCAGACTTCGACCCATTTGACTGTGAATTGATTAAAGGTTTGAATTTTGTTTTGAATTGAAGAAATGATGGAATTTATATCATAAAAAAATTCCTGATGTTATATTATAGAACACTTTAATGGGAATCACATTGCTTCTATAGAAACAAATCTGTAGACAGGTTCAGAAATCTGGCTTTTCATTATATTGACCTGCCTGATGTACATGTGTACAACTAGTATTGTTAATGATACTTTAACGTCTGTTATACTTTAAAAACAGTAAGAAAACCCTAAAAAATACTTTTATATTATAAAAATATATAACGCCATATAAAAATGAGCGATGTTATTAATTTTAAAATTTAAAAACCACACAGGTGCTATGCTTGTGAGTGGGGTGTATGATCTTAGACCATTAACTAAAACTTCCAATAACGTGGCCTTAAAGTTGACTGAGTAAGTATTGTTTTGGTAAAATAATAATTGTTATTAGAGGTATATTTCACAATTATAAATTCAGACTTATAAAATTAAAACAATACATATGAAAATCAAGACAAACTTTTATAAAACATGAATTTTAAAATTCTCTTATCAGGGAGTCTATAAAATTATGAATTAATTGTGGTTTTTAATTGCAACTTAATAAACTTTGAACCGTAAAATACTGTTATATCCAACAGGGAAGATGCTTGGCGCTTAAGTCCCCAAAATTTCGTGAAGGAAATAGCTCAGCAATCTCAGCATCGTCACATTGTGTTAGCCGTGGGTGAATATGATCCGCCAGAGTTTAGACGTCAGAGTGGCGAGATGGAGAAGGTAAATGCTGGCTCTACAATATTTTTTGAGTTGCATCCACAATTCACCCTGCCCCCGCTATTTCATCTTTACTGCCAATAAAAACAGTGTACAGTAAAGTAATTAAAATTTCCCCTTGTTTCATGGGGCAGATGAAGTAGAGTTCACATGCTTGTGTGACCTCGGTATATATGAAGAGAAAGTGTGGTCAGCACAGTGACCTGCCGCCTTTATTCTACCTAACGTGAGCTGTTGAACTCATGGGCGTCCTACAGACTTAACTCGAGGAAGCAATGCAAACTCAAGACATTTAGGTTAGCAGGCATGCACTCCACCGACTGACCATGCGGTCACCAAACACTTCTCATAACAGTGTGGTTAAGTGGAAAAACAATCCAGAAAGTCTCAGTCTACTTTGGCTCAGGTCTCTTGGATGTCTCTGTACCTTCTCAATCTAAAGATTGCCTATCTCAAATCAGTGAAAGTTCCATTGTGTATTTAGTCATCTACACAACTCTTTTACACATATTGTAAATTAAACCAGAAGAAATTAACTATTTATCTGCACATTGGATCATTAGGTCTGAAAAGCTGCTATACTTCAACAGCAGTCATTATAAAAAGTGGTATTTTTGTAGCCAATTTTATTGACACACAGTCATTGTATTTTTTTAACATGTGCAGATGTTAAGAAAATTTGGAGTGAAAACAAGTTATCTAGACATACCAGACACAGATCACTTTAGTGTTGTGGACAAACTAAATGAGCCTGGATATTTACTTACTAAAGTAAGTTCTGCCAATTCCATAGAAAGCCTTATATTTTGAATTCTAATCAATCTTTACTACTTAAATACTTAACGTAATTAATAAAATCACCAGAATTTAACTTCCTATTTTACCATATCTTTATATCACACTTAGTGTAATAATTGTTACCACTTAACTTCTCAACATAATTAATTCATTGATATAATACAATTAGAAGAATAAAACTTCCAGCTAACCATGTCTTTATATTACAGGAATGCATTCGTCTCATGGGTCTTTAACAACATATGGCTATGGGTTTTTTTAAATGTGAAATGATAAACAGTGATTTCTGCACAAGGACTCTTATCTTCAAGAAATCTCAATAAACACTTTATTGAAGGAGTCTCCAAGTATATACTTCCATACAGCAGCATTATATAAGCAGTCTTATTTTATGTTTGTTTTATATGCAATTTTTTCATATACAATTTAACCAATGCTGTGATGTCTATGGGTTACGTAAAATACAATACAGACACAGTTACCTATGCAGTTATTACAGTGCCTTAGATTACTTAGAATAATTAATTAAAACAGTATAGATGCTAGACTTTTTAATTTGGGAAGTTTATACACCTTATGTTACCTGTTTCTTCTCAGATTACATGAATGTATGTTTTTTTATTTGGATCTGATAAAATTTACATAATAAAAACAGGTTAATTAGTATTTACATTACATTTTATTCTGTTTATGTAAGTGTATCTGCAAATTATTTATTTATTTTTATACATATTGGATAAATAGCAAAAACGGTGATGGGAATATGATTTTTGAATATGGCTTACTTCATTTTATACCCTCTGCATTTACTTGGATCAAGCAAGGTTTTTACTGGTTGTGTTGAATAAACATGTGTCATTTTCTAATGCAGCAATAATGGTAAGGTCTTCCAGGTTGATTTTGTGTACACAGATACTGTTTACATATCTATGTAACTGCCTTAAAGAATTATATTTTTAAGTGCTTTAAAAGTACAGCACAGGTAAATTTATGTGTTCATCAAGACTTAATTTTCATTAAGATGGAGATTATAATTAGAAAATTATGATGTAGATACTGATGAGGTTGTTTGTATACTAAATTATACCAGGTGTTGCTTTTACTTAAAAATTGTGATCCTGTCTATATATTCCACAATAGAACTTATATTTCACTTTCATGCTTGTAATTTTCTTATGTCATATTTTACTGTGGAAGAATAAAGATTTTTCAGAGCTTTTAATATAAGTGACTGCATTTATTTTGCTGTATTGGTGATTGTTTAATTTGTTTATATGTGTAGGTCCAAATATTTAGGACATTGACACTATATACATTATTTAGACACACATGAAATCAAGTGGGGAAAAAATATATATCTGGAACATTTTATGCTATAAAATTGTGTGCCTGTATGAGTTTTAATTAATTAGTTAATTAATTTTTAGTCTGCACTTACATTTAGTAATTTAAAGGTGGTCTATAAAGCATTTTAAGTCACACATACAGTGGGTTTCACTTCACAAGCTAAATTAGGCTGAATAACTCTATTATCAAAAGCAAAATCCTTTAAAGGTTTGTTTTCTGTTTGCTAGATAATTAGATCTAAATGTCAGTCTAAAACTTATGTGCTACATTTATATTTCAAAGTTCAATAATCATTGTTCGAAGTGAGGATCACCACAATTGATGTCAAGCAATTTTACCCCATCTTGTATCTATAATCACGAAGACCGTCTCACCCCACAATAATGGTATTTAAGTGTTTCATCGTCCTCAAACTTTAACTGCTAACTGGCACTATGGTCGAAAGAAGTGATACAAAATCAAAATCAGATAAAACGGTCCTAGGCCCTAACGCGGATTAAGATTTCAATAAATAAAATTTAAATTCTTAAAATATCCCAAAAATTATTTTTTTTTAAAAATTAGGTTATTGATATTGTAGTATAGTAAACATCGTTTTATGGGGAAAAAAACCTACTGATCAATTTTTTTTTAAATTAATCGCCATCCTAAATTGAGCTAGATCTAGATATGATATAGATTCTAAATCTAGGATATAGAATCTAGGATCTAGACCTAAAACGCAAATAATACAAATTACCTGGCCAAGGTGACGTTTGTTTATAAACAAAGTTTCTGAGAAAAGCTGCTGTGTTGTCATTGTAAGAATTCAGTTAGTGTAGTTGAGCTAAAATAGTTAGATCTAGATCCATATACATACTAGTAATAATAATACTTACTAGATCTATATTACTAGATCTAGATTCTATGTAGATCTATAAAATAAAATTGAATCTGACGGTAATCGATCGTTTTAGGTGCGTAAAAATTTTAATTTTACTAAAATTAAAATTTTTCGTCCGCGGCTAGTAATGTGCGAAAAAGTTACCTCATTGTCAAGGCTTTATAGATCTAGATCTGTATTATGATATATTTGTGTCAAATATTATAGATAAATGAATAGTAAACCTAAATCAATAGCTAAATATATCAATATAGGCTAGAAATTAACTTTAAACAGAAGTGTTTGCGAGCAGGATTTACAATATAATGGAATATAAAAAGCGGCCATCTGTAAGTTAGAGTGGCTTCCCCTGAATCTTGCGCAATAAGTTTACAATAAAAAAAATTAAGCAAGTTGGCTGCTATAGTATAGTAAATGAGCATGGTTGCATCTGTTGGAAACATCGCTAGTCTTCATTTATTACTGAAAATTTTTAATTTAATTGTTTAAAAACAGGTACATAAATGAAAAAAGGAAACATTTTTTGTATTTTTCAAAACATAAATCCTCCTCAAAATGTGAAATAATTATTAAAATGTAAGGAGTCACCTGTTTTTCACATTACTAGAGGCGGACGATTTTACGTATCTAAATAAAAACGATAGATTACCCTGTTAACTTACTACTTAGGCCATATTATTAATTTATGTGGCTTTATGTGGTGGTCCAGTTTGTTTCTAGAATCAACATTTTAACTCTGAATAGATCAATAATTAAAATTAAATCTAATATTTAATGCTTTTGTTTTGGTATTTTTTATAAACTTCATTGCATAGAATATTTTCTTTTGCAACAGACATAATCAATGTTCCAGACAGTTATGATAGTGGCCATACCGGCCTTGGTCACCTTGACTGCTGCCTTTTTTCTTCTACGGAAAATCTCTAAGGCTAACAGTGAGCAGGAAGAGCAATGGCAGAATTTTGCATCTAGATCTACATCTAATTCAGGTGTGCTAGATTAAAACTTGAACTGCTGTTCTCCATAGCAAGCACAGTTGCTTTTTTTTATTGCCCATGTTGTCTGCTTAGTTAGTCGTTCCTGTGCCAGCCCTTGTATCACACCTTACTCTTAACTAAAAGAGATATGTTACATGTAATCAAACTGATTTTAACGCTGTTAACAATGGTAACCAAGCACATGTTAATTCCATCAATATTACTTTTGGTTCCTTGAGGAACTTAGGGCCTCTGTTAAAGCTCTCTCCTCTCTCTCATGCTGCTTCCAAAATATACATAAACAACCTGTTAACACCAGTAATTATTATCGTCTAGGTATCAGTCTTTACATTATTACGAAACTTAAATTCTCTCCATACAAAAACATTTTTATTTATTTCCACTATTAGTTTCAATTGAGTTTTGTACTTGTTAAATCTTTTAAGTAATAGTCCACCATAATGAAACACTTCTGTGTGAATACTAATTGCAGATAGATTACAAGATGGTGAAATAAGACAGCGCAACAGTAGATCCAGAGTAAATACAGAAGACACCAGAGAATGTGCCATCTGCTTTGGAGAAGCATTGAAGTTTGTTGAACTACGTCCATGTGGGCACACAAACATATGTAGAAAGTGTGTGAGTAAACTAACACCAAAGATTTGTCCTTTTTGTCGAATTCCAATAACTGAGTATTTTTATTGAACTGTTGTTATTTTAAAAACAGTGTCTTGGAACTGAAATCTCTAAAATCTTAATTGGACTTTTGAGATGTAAATAATGTGATTTTTATTTTTTTTAATGATAATTAACATTTCATTAAAAAAAAAAATTTGATCTTTTGTTGGCAAACTATCTATTTCATGTTTTCAAGTTGAATCATCTTTTGATGGGCTAATGATTCATTTATTTTTAAAAAATTGAAGTTAGCAAATAGCCTGCTGTTTTATTTTAAATTCAATCATCTTAGGATGGCCCACAATTTCATTTGCTGTCCTGTACATACTGCTGATACGATTGACAGATCAGATTAAGAATAAGTAAATTGTAGTTGTTTGAGTTTGAGTACAGTTGTGATAATGTGCATGAATTTTATTGTACAGTGTGATTTAGATGTGATGTTACATTTTTTTTCAAATGGACATCACTATGTGTCACCAGGATTACAATTTAATTTTTTAATGTGATATAAATTGCCATATCCTAGGTGCCAGTTTTACACTCCTCTAATGATATTAGGTAGAAATTTTAAATTATGAAGTGAGTGCTAAACATATATACAATGTATCAATTTGTGAATATGTATAAGTGTGCTAACAAAATCTTGTTTATTTAAAATATGTTATGTTAAAAGTGTTTACTTCTGTGAAGTTGTAATAAAATAATACATCTTTATAATGTTTGAGTTTGATTGCTTGCAAAAACAAGCTAGTCTGTTCTATCACTGATGCTTTTACGACAAATATTGATTAGTTTTGCTGCATCAATGCAGTTTTATGAAAAAAGTGTTGATTGAAATTTTATAATTGTAAACCACATACTGAAATAGAGTTCACCTCATTCTTGATCATGTCATACAAAGGGCATAGGTAGAGTGCAGTAACTGTCAATCTTTTCATCAAGTACTGGTGTGTATGGTATAGGGGAAAATAATGTGTGGTGTATTGTTACATTGTATAACCAGGTAGTGTTAATACATTTAAAATTTAATTTCCAAATGGCAAATTCCAAAGAGATTTCAAAATTAAGAATTTTTAAAATTAGACTAGTACATAGCATTGCCTTGAAAAGGATACAATTTAATATATTTAGCTTGTCTCTTTTTGGGTTTATGAGTTTATTTCTAAATAGTTACTTGATTACACACATCAATTATTTTAATTATAATACAAATTTCACTCTTTTGATGATGAAAACCATGTACGTTTTTCTTTAATTTCATTAATTTCATTGGCACATTTTAAAAATTTTCTAAATAAAATTAAAACTTAATGACTGTATGACTTTGTTAAAATACACTTGAATACACCTATCAAACTCGCAATCCTTTCGTGGGCTTCTGTAAAAAAAGAATTCTGAATTTTCTTCCGACAAAAAATATTTTGATTAACTTCCATACTATGTGCAGTCATAAATAGGTCATTTATTTACATACCGGTAAACACATTTTTAAAAAATTGTAAATTATTCTCATTTACAAGAAAGACAATTCACGCATGATGATATGTGTATCATAAAAGACAATAACAAATTTTAACATTGTCTGTCTCTATATGTTAAATCTAGGGAGACCGACAAGAACTGAGAGAATACTGTTTCTGGATAATTACAAATTCATTCATCTCATACAAATTTAAAAAAATGTTAAAAAGCAGTTTTGTAGCTAGGAAATAAAACTTAAAATCCAATTACATGTGAGAGATTATAAACATATGGTAAATGCATTTTACATCAATAATCTGACATGAACAGTTAAAGTGCTGCTTGTATGCCATGGGTTTAAATCCTCTTGAATTGTTTGCTGCCATTGACCAGAGGCACTTGCTCATCATCTTCATCAATGAAAAGTCTGGACTCTTTGTTGCTCCTTAACATAGAAAGTATTTAAATTACCTTACCTTAAGTGCGTAAGGTTAAGTATTGCTAACTTATTTTAACTTAACTCATAATTCTAAGATAAATATAAATAGACACATCTTTAATTATTATTTTTTCTGAATAATTAAATGTTATTAAACATTTCTTGAACCTTTCCCCCATAAATGTTATGGACTACCAATTACATTCTCATCCCTGACACAAAAGAAAACTATTACACCTTGAATGTTTAAAAAAGCCCTACCTGAAACCTTTTCTCCTTTTATCATGAAGTCTCCAGTCAACTTCACTCTCACTGTCCATGATGTCCAGTAACTGCTGCTCATAATTGGAATCTATAGGGCCGATGGAAATATCTCGCACAGCTCGGAACTGACCACAATTATTCAAATGTTCATTCTCAAGACGGAAAAAGTTCCAAACAAATCTTCTGCAAAAAGTAATAAGCAACAATTTGAAATGTCAGAGGCATAACAGTACAGGATCATTGGAAACATATATTTTTTATACCGTTAAATAAACAATAAAACAAAAATTATTAAGGGTTACATTTTAAGTATTACACATAAGTTAACAGCTTACTCAACTCATCATGCATAATTAAAACAATGAAATTGCTATATGGTTACCTAAAGACTTCCAAACAAGCAAATATTGTTTTAAGTACAGTGTTGTTGTAGAAAAGCCCTTCACCAACAGAAACGGTTAGCGTCCACAAAAAACGTAAGATGAAATCTTCAATCATTGCAAAATAGTAGTAAGCCTGAGAATAAACATTAAAGCTCTTGTTAAATAAATTTTAAAAATACAAACATAAATAAATAACATTAAATTGGCATGTATAAAAAATCTTTCTAATCTATATGCGGAACTTAGAAATATTAAAAAAGCACTGAAGACCGACTCACTTTATATGCATAGACTATTTCCTCTCGTAAGAACCTGTTTTCTCCAGCGTTCTTGTCCATGAGTCCCCAATCCATTTTGATGTCCCATGTGTATGTGTAGCAGGAACTCACAATGGCAGCAACAATCCACAAATAGAAAAAAACTGATGTTTGGCGATAATGTTCACCATACATTTCTGTTAGACGAAAAAACATTACATTTTTTTTATTACTGTAATTAACTTTCTGTTAGTTTTATTTAATAAAATTTTATAACTCTAAACATAAAAATGTTATTATATTATAAAAGCTATCTGTATTTCTATTTAATAAATACTCTTTTCGACCTAATAGCCAATTGGGAAGGTGAAGTAGAGTTCACCTCTAAAAAGATAGTGTGGTCAGCTCTATGACCAGCTTTTATTTTTGCTAACATGAGTCAGTTGTCAATTTTTGTTGGATAGTCTCAGGGACATAGAATAGACTTGACCCTGGGATACAAGCCCAAGACTTTTGGATTGGTAGTCATCCGCTCTATCATCAGGCCATGCGATACCATATTTAAAAAGAAAGAATTTATGACTAGACATACCAACATGTATCTTGTAAAGCGTGGAAAAGAGGACAACAAAAAATGTTGTGGAATATTTTCCTGCGTTGACAATGTGTGGAAACACCAGCTTTGTGTCACGGTAACGCCTCAGACACTGGGCAAAACGAAACCACGCAGGTAAACAGGAGAAGATGGCGATGATTCCATAAATGTTTTTATTACAAACATACTGTCCTGGAGAAATGGAATAAAAATATTTTAGCTTGTACCATCAAAACTAAAAATTTGGGATTAAAATTTAGGGATTGGTTTAGTATTAGTTTTAAAGTTAATGTTAAGAGAAGTGTTAGATGTGTATATTTGGTTGTTGGTTATACAATGGTGCATTATAAGTAGGTATGGGTAATAGCTACTTGACACTAGCCACAGGCCTACTATTACAATGGAATAAACTTAAATTATTCAAATTAGGTGAACCAATTTTAAAAGATATTTCAACTTACTGTCATCTCCTAACCATTCCACCTCAAAGGCATAATAACAGACTAGGTATTCTAGGTCTAGTAAAACGGTCACTAGACTGTTGAGTTGATCAGCCAGCCAAAAGTCAGCAAAACCAACATGGTGAAAGGGTGCTGTTAAAATTCTAAACTGCAAAAACAAAGGAGTTAAATTTTACATAGAGGAGGAAAAATTTATAAATGAATTGCACATAATTAAAAAAAAATGAAAATGTAAGCCTATGTTAAATCTTTCAATTAAAGATATCTGTTTCCCTTAATTTACTTTAATGAGCAATAATTAAGTAGACAACTTTATTATAATATTTAAATAACATCATTATTAATTTTTAAAAGTGGAATTTTAACAGTATTAAGGATATTTTCAAATATTAGGAGATAAATGCTATCAACATTTTCCCACAGCATATGGATAATTAAGTTATAAAAGAAAGTTGTTACAAGGAAAAGAAAGTAAATAAGCCTGGAGGTTTCAATATTAAAATCTGTTGAAAAATAATTTTGTGTGTTCATAATCTATCAAGAACAGGAATGGAAACAATGTTTTTTTCTCCTGAGGTTTCAGTAAGAGTGTGTCCTAAGCAATATTTAGAGAAATAAAAGGGCACTCACCAATATTCTTAGCAGCCACATCCTTGCTCTATAATAAAAGAACTTGAATGGGTTGATTAATGCCAGAATGAGGAATGTTGTAAATGCCAGGGGCATGGCCATAGGGGGGACACCAATAAAATCACTGTACAAATAGGAAAGTATACTTAATGCCCAGAACACTCCAAGAAAAGATGCCAACTGAAATAATAAAAACAGATTTAAATTACTTACAATAATTACAAAACCAAACTTATATGTAGGCCTAATCAAAAAGAAAACTATAAAATTTTCTTTTGCTACTACAGTATAGAAAACAGATTGATTATCAATATTATTAATATTCTCCCAGTTATAAACTACTTGAATAATTAAGTAAGCTTAATTAAGTATGTCAAAATTTAGAGTTTGTTAAAATTATAACTGAGGATAGATATGCGTCAAGTTTAAAAAAAAAAATTTAATTAGAAATGGGAAAAAAATCTGATTCAAAGATGTCATCAAGATAAACAGATGATGGGTCAAGCAAAATAAAAGCTGGTAATGACAGTCAGCAATTTCAAAAAGGTCAAGTTTCTTGATTTATTTCTAATTAACTATTTTTTTTATGAATGATCATATTAGATTTATATATAGATGGTAAACTGGCATACACCTTGATCCTACGAGTCAATTTGTAAACATTATTTAAAGGAAATTTATGTAGCAATCTGCAAAGTTTGTACTATAAAACAATAAGATTCATGAAAGCATAATTTTTCATAATTTGATTTTTACACACATATGCCCAAAGACAGTTGTTGAAAAATAAGAAATACTAACTCTAACACAGTAGAATGATGGAGATAAATGTAGTTAAGAAACTAATCATATGCATGATAATCATAAAGAATGTGTAGATGTAAAAGGATGAGTTCATTCAACCAGCACTGACCTCCAACAGCTGTGCATGGGTCAGATGATTCCTAGGGTCAATCTCAAATATCAGGACATGGTTGACGCCAGATGACCGCCATCCATATGTGTTGACCCCCAGAAGGAAAAGGTCAAAGATGACCAGAAACAAACCACGATACATGTGCAGTGCTGGCTCCCAGTCCTTGGAGCGGTCGATAAAGTTGGCTGTTAACAGAACAGACGTTCACTTATTGTTTTGCTATCTACAAGTTCTATTTTAATGTAAGCACAATTAGCTAGTAAATACTATAAAGAGACTAGAAAATTTTCCTGGTAGAACAAGAAATTTTGAGAGCTTGTACAGTTTTTCTTAAAAGTTTTATTTTTGTTCCATTTACACAACTAATAAGTTCTTCATTATATCTAGCAAGTCAACCATTAATTAATAAGAGAATTTTTTTAAAAGTAAAGTGAGATCTAACAAGTCTAATGATTTAACTAGTTTCACAAATAGTTTAGAAACACTTAAATGAAGAAGAAAAAAATTTACCAGACAGTATGATGACTATGGTCAACACAACAAACATGCCTATAAACAGCCCCATCTTAAAATTTGTCCAAGGATGTTGCTAAAATAGAAATAAAAACATTATCCAAATGCAAAACCAAAAAGTTAAATTGAACATATTTTATGACGTTATCAGCTCTTTTAAATAAGTCAAGAAGTCAAGAAATTTATTTTCAACAAATGGAAAATGAATTGTTAATATGCATTCACACAAGTCACATTTAGCTCTGAAGATGCAATAAAAACAGATGTAACATAACACTAACATTGATAATATGATGATTAGAAACTGCCACCCATGCAAAAAAACAACAACATTGAGTTACAACAACAGATGGAACATTCAAAACTGTCAGCTTATAAAGTAACTAAATTTCTGATATTTCCCCTCGATAAAATATATTGTATATTTCTTTTGCTATTATTTATTAAAATAAATAAATTGCAAAGCATTTGAAATAAACATTATAAGTGATTTTCAGCAACAATGCTATGTAAAACTGCGAAATTCTCAAAAAGGTTTCAGCTTCTAACATTGTGAGCTTAAGTGCACCAGGATGTTATACTTTGATTTTAAAAATATATAATGAAAACAACCTCATTAAATAATCTTCTCTTATCATACAGAACAATGAGACCTCCTGTAGTAAAGATTATGATAAAATAAACCGGGAGTGATCTCCCCTAAACTTTCTCGAATATTCTTATTAATACTAATAGTTTCGCTGTCTCTCTATGTATCTATCTGTCTGACAAGAACGCTCTAGAGAAAACACAAGGAATTTAAAAACCTGCATAGTAATTCGAAAAACGAAGTATGACGTCGACACATTTAGCATAGAGTAGAAAATAATCTCAAACCCAGAGAGTGCTCACAGTTATATGACGTCATTGATTATCGCGTAAACATTGAATAAAAAGGAAATGTTGTCTAATCTTAATGGTTTGCGTGAAGAGTTTCTTGCATACAATTCAAACTCAAAAGAAATTTCTTCATCGATACTCTATAATAAAATTACCGCCTAATTAATGTGTCTAATCTAAAAAGTGGTTTTCTTGCAATTTCTTTAATGCAATTCTTCGGGTAGTGGCTAAGCGCGACACCAGTGTTTCTTTCAGACTTTTTCCTCCCCGGAGAGGGGTGGGGGTAATTGAAATTTTCGGGGGCGGGGGTAGAATTTTCGGGAAGGGGGGGCGGACACTGGAAAAAGTATATAATTATATTTCGTTGAATGGGACGGTAGACATGATTTTTTTGGGAGTGGGGGGTGGGGGGGGGGGGGTGGTGTGGTGTGTGTGTGGGGGGTGGGGTGGGGTGGTTTCCTCATCGATACTCTATAATAAAATTACCGCCTAATTAATGTGTCTAATCTAAAAAGTGGTTTTCTCGCAATTTCTTTAATGCAATTCTTCGCGTAGTGGCTAAGCGCGACACCAGTGTTTCTTTCAGACTTTTTCCTCCCCGGAGAGGGTTGGGGGTACTTGAAATTTTCGGGGGCGGGGATAGAATTTTCGGGGAGGGGGCGGACACTGGAAAAAGTATATAATTATATTTCGTTGAATGGGACGGTAGACATGTTTTTTTGGGGGGTGGGGGGGTGGGTGGGGGTGGGGGGGTGGGTGGGGGTGGGGGGTGGTGTGTGGGGTGGGTGGGGGGTGGGGTGGGTGGGGGGTGGTGTGTGTGGGGGGGTGGGTTGGTTTTAGTTTAGAGAAAAGAGACAGCACTATCAACCTAGCGCCCGGTGTATCCTTCCTCAACGGGCCATTTTTCTCGTATAAAATAACAGGGGATGGGAACTCGGGCTATAGACATGATTTTTAATCCATTTTAAATACTTAAAGTTTTAAAAATAGAATAAAATCTTGTAGACAAATTAATTGCACACCAAGTGAACGCCAAATAAAAAAGCGCATAATAGTGCGCAATATTATTATTACTTTTAAAATTTACATTAGTTTTTTGAGAAATCGGAAGTAGCGTAAAGTACTACTTCCAGTCAACGGAAATGACTCAAAATTTAATAGAAGGTAGAGAATTAGATCTTTTACTTACGTATGAAATTTCATTTATCTATCTGAAATAGTACTCAAGTTATAGGCTTTTGAAAAATTCAAAGTAGGAAAAGTACCACTTCCGGTTATCGGAAATCGCTCAAAAGTTGATACGGATCTACGATTTTGATTAAATACTTATATATGAAATTTCATCAACCTAGCTGTAACGGTACTCAAGTTATCGTGTTTACACACGGACACACGGACAAGATTGCAATATTATGTTTTTCCGTATCAGTGAGGTGTAAAACGTCGAGATTTGTAAAAATCTCGATTTTTTTTTTTTTTGCACGATTACAATACTTTCTCTATACTACGTATATACGAGAAAGTAAAAAGGAGAGCTCCCTTTATGGAAATATGATGACATAGCAGAGTAAAGACCTGATTATAACATAGTTTTTTTGTTGTTGCCTTGTTTGTTGAACTCATAGGGACTACTTGCAGCATATAAGTGTTTTCCTAAATTCTAATCTCCCTGTTATAAAATGGACATAATTTAACATCTACAAAATATCTAATGGTTTTCTTCAAAGGAGTTCTGTAAGAAACTCTGTAAGAAAATAATTACAAATTAAAATAATCTGTAAACAATGTTAACAACTTGCTTCATACTGGCCTCCAGAGCAGTTGTGTAATGTAAATGTATAAGAAAAGTTAATACAACAGGTAATATTTTAAACAGTTGTAGTGTTAAACCCTTTACAAAAAGACAACATAGTTTTATGAAAAAGAAATATTGTTAATAGCAACCACAGTAATGCAAAGAATAACACAGAATAAAAAATAGAAGCACATAAAAAATTATTAAAAATAAAAAAAATACTATTTTCCAGCAAAATGATTTAACAAAAAAGTATGATAAAACAAACATTCATACATGATAGTTATCTATATGCCAAATAAAAAATGTATGTCAACAAAAAGAAATAAAAAATAACCAATGTCACTAAACAGACATGATTAAAAAAATGTACAGTAAACTTTGCCTAGCATGACCGCATGATTTTAAAACATGACTACATAATCTCTCGTTATTTTGACTACCACATCAAAGACTACATAACCAAGTCTGATAATGAATTTAGCACAGCAAGGACAAAGATGAGACTGACACTCAGAAAATGCTTTTACACGATATTTATCAAGGCAAAAAAAAATCAATCTGACCTGTGCACACTGAAAAACACCAAAATCATGTTTAGTTGCAAAGTAGTGATGCATCTTACAGTTAAAAATTTTAAAAAGTTAAAGTGGTTTTTAAGACAAAATTTACTGTACATAAAATTTAAATTATTATTGAAAATTCTCATCTATTAATTACAAAACTCATTTTTAAAAGGTTATACTAGAAAAGCCTGAGTTAAATCAGAATGTTTTCAGATTTGATTTGAACAATCAGCAAAAAAATAAAATTTCTATTTTTCAGAAAAAAGTAAAAAAATAAATTGCAAACATTAAGAGCAAAAAGGGTTTATGCACAAATGATCAGAATAAGAGAAACGAAATGCCAAATGCAAGAAAAAAAAATATTACCTCGTCACCTAGAGGAGGCACACGGAGTCGTTTCATAGCTTTAGATCTATCACCACCTTCCAGTTCACTGGTCACACTTTGCTGTAGACAAGAGCGGTATGGAATTACTCACTATTCTATTTTATATTATTCTTTATAAATCTAAATCAATTGATTGGCTATCTGAATCTTGTTGCTATTTGAATCAATAGCCAAATAAATGAATGACAAATTTGAACCTAGTGCCCATAAAAGTAATTGACCAATCTGAATGAGTGGACTACACTAATCAAAGAGTGAATTTTTCAAACTAGCCTCAACATCCTTGATGAGGTGATCCACCTCCTTGTTTGTGTAGAATGGTGCCACTTCAACATGAGATTGTCTCCACTCTGTGCCTGTTGATGTTTGCATCATCTGAGGGACAATGTTCACTAATTAGTACCACACCCGGCATCTTAACAGTTCACCAGTTAGTACCACACCTGGCATCATAACAGTTCACCAATTAGTACCACACCCAGCATCTTAACAGATGACCAATTAGAACCACACCCAGCATCTCAACAGATGACCAATTAGAACCACACCCGGCATCGTAACATTTCACCAATTAGTACCACACCCAGCATCTTAACAGTTCACCAATTAGTACCACACCCAGCATCTTAACAGTTCACCAATTAGTACCACACCCATCATCTTAACAGTTCACCAATTAGTACCACACCCAGCATCTTAACAGTTCACCAATTAGTACCACACCCAGCATCTTAACAGTTCACCAATTAGTACCACACACATAATCTTAACAGTTCACCAATTAGTACCACACCCAGCATCTTAACAGTTCACCAATTAGTACCACACCTGGCATCATAACAGTTCACCAATTAGTACCACACCCAGCATCTTAACAGTTCACCAATTAGTACCACACCTGGCATCATAACAGTTCACCAATTAGTACCACACCCAGCATCTTAACAGTTCACCAATTAGTACCACACCCAGCATCTTAACAGTTCACCAATTAGTACCACACCCAGCATCTTAACAGTTCACCAATTAGTACCACACCCAGCATCTTAACAGTTCACCAATTAGTACCACACCCAGCATCTTAACAGTTCACCAATTAGTACCACACCCAGCATCTTAACAGTTCACCAATTAGTACCACACCCAGCATCTTAACAGATGACCAATTAGAACCACACCCAGCATCTCAACAGATGACCAATTAGAACCACACCCAGCATCTTAACAGTTCACCAATTAGTACCACACCCAGCATCTTAACAGTTCACCAATTAGTACCACACCCAGCATCTTAACAGTTCACCAATTAGTACCACACCCAGCATCTTAACAGTTCACCAATTAGTACCACACACATAATCTTAACAGTTCACCAATTAGTACCACACCCAGCATCTTAACAGTTCACCAATTAGTACCACACACATAATCTTAACAGTTCACCAATTAGTACCACACCTGGCATCGTAACAGTTCACCAATTAGTACCACACCCAGCATCTTAACAGTTCACCAATTAGTACCACACCCAGCATCTTAACAGTTCACCAATTAGTACCACACCCAGCATCTTAACAGTTCACCAATTAGTACCACACCTGGCATCGTAACAGTTCACCAATTAGTACCACACCTGGCATCTTAACAGTTCACCAATTAGTACCACACCCAGCATCTTAACAGTTCACCAATTAGTACCACACCTGGCATCGTAACAGTTCACCAATTAGTACCACACCTGGCATCGTAACAGTTCACCAATTAGTACCACACCCAGCATCATAACAGTTCACCAATTAGTACCACACCCAGCATCTTAACAGTTCACCAATTAGTACCACACCCCGCATCATAACAGTTCACCAATTAGTACCACACCTGGCATCATAACAGTTCACCAATTAGTACCACACCCCGCATCGTAACAGTTCACCAATTAGTACCACACCCAGCATCTTAACAGTTCACCAATTAGTACCACACCCAGCATCTTAACAGTTCACCAATTAGTACCACACCTGGCATCATAACAGTTCACCAATTAGTACCACACCCCGCATCGTAACAGTTCACCAATTAGTACCACACCCAGCATCTTAACAGTTCACCAATTAGTACCACACCCAGCATCTTAACAGTTCACCAATTAGTACCACACCTGGCATCATAACAGTTCACCAATTAGTACCACACCCCGCATCGTAACAGTTCACCAATTAGTACCACACCCAGCATCTTAACAGTTCACCAATTAGTACCACACCCAGCATCTTAACAGTTCACCAATTAGTACCACACCTGGCATCGTAACAGTTCACCAATTAGTACCACACCTGGCATCTTAACAGTTCACCAATTAGTACCACACCCAGCATCTTAACAGTTCACCAATTAGTACCACACCTGGCATCGTAACAGTTCACCAATTAGTACCACACCTGGCATCGTAACAGTTCACCAATTAGTACCACACCCAGCATCATAACAGTTCACCAATTAGTACCACACCCAGCATCTTAACAGTTCACCAATTAGTACCACACCCCGCATCATAACAGTTCACCAATTAGTACCACACCTGGCATCATAACAGTTCACCAATTAGTACCACACCCCGCATCGTAACAGTTCACCAATTAGTACCACACCCAGCATCTTAACAGTTCACCAATTAGTACCACACCCAGCATCTTAACAGTTCACCAATTAGTACCACACCTGGCATCATAACAGTTCACCAATTAGTACCACACCTGGCATCGTAACAGTTCACCAATTAGTACCACACCCAGCATCATAACAGTTCACCAATTAGTACCACACCCATCATCTTAACAGTTCACCAATTAGTACCACACCCAGCATCTTAACAGTTCACCAATTAGTACCACACCCAGCATCTTAACAGTTCACCAATTAGTACCACACACATAATCTTAACAGTTCACCAATTAGTACCACACCCAGCATCTTAACAGTTCACCAATTAGTACCACACCCAGCATCTTAACAGTTCACCAATTAGTACCACACACATAATCTTAACAGTTCACCAATTAGTACCACACCCAGCATCTTAACAGTTCACCAATTAGTACCACACACATAATCTTAACAGTTCACCAATTAGTACCACACCCAGCATCTTAACAGTTCACCAATTAGTACCACACCCAGCATCTTAACAGTTCACCAATTAGTACCACACACATAATCTTAACAGTTCACCAATTAGTACCACACCCAGCATCTTAACAGTTCACCAATTAGTACCACACCCAGCATCTTAACAGTTCACCAATTAGTACCACACCCAGCATCTTAACAGTTTATCAATTAGTACCAGACCCAGCATCTTAACAGATTAGTGTAACAACCGTCATCTTAACAGTTAACCGGTAAAAACCACACATTATCTTAACAATTCATAATTAATACTACACCCATCATCTTAACAGTTCACCAATAAGTACCTCATCCCAATAAGTAGTACCTTAATAGTTCACCAATTAGTACCACAACCATCATCTTAACAGTTCACCAATCAAAACAACACCCATCATCTTAACAGTTCACCAATTAGTACCACATTAATGATACATTATATGTTTCTGTACTTTTTCCTTAGCTGTGCTGCTAAAAGTAAATAGCTAGTTTCACTGAAACCAACACTGTATTTTGCTGGTTATTAAAATAAATATAATGTCGCATGCACAGACAAACACAAACAAAAAAAACCATAAAGACACGAATGCTTGCCCACCCACACACACACATAAAAACAAAAAGATGATTTCTATAATAAATTTAAGCAGATATTTAAACCCCCGTGATTTACAGAGGAAGTGACCTACTTTGTCATGTTTTTTGAGAATCTTCCTAAAGCCAGTAAAGTTCAAGGTCTGATAATTCTGCAGCAACACCAAGCTCAGGTAGAACTCAGAAAAGGCCAACTTTAAATCATGCAATTTCCTCATGGATGACAGGGCTTGACCTTTCAACTCTTTGTCCTAACACCAAAAAAAACTTGTTAGTTGTTACTTCTCAATGATGAATTTTGAGTACCCAACATTAGAAAAAGGAAATTAACCAGTTAGAATCTCTTATGGTATCAGCAGTTAAAAACTGACAAGAGTTGATAAAACAGTATCTTTTTAATAAGATTTTACGACATTAATGTAATAAAATGAAAATTTTCTAAAATGATTTAATCAAAGTTAAAAAAAAACATTAATTTAAAAGATATTTGAAAATTATACCAAGTAGATCTAAGGCTTTTTTAGATTTATTCTTTAAATAATAACAACTATACTAGCACAGTACCTTGAACAACTGAAGATTAGCCATACTGGGCTTGCGCCTTCTGAGCTGAGGGTTACGTTGATTATTTTGCTGGTGGTGGTTCAAAAAGACCTCCAGCTCGGCCTTCAAGTTGGCATACTTGCGATTGGCTTCTGACAACTTCTCTAAAGAGAGAAAATAAAGACTTTTTACTCTACTGGTATTGTAGTATAAATAAACTGACCAGCTTAAAAATGGACATTTTTGTTATCAGAAACATGATGAATAACAATGTTTTTGAAGAGAAAAATCAAAGGCATTTTTAGGTTTTCCTGATGAAAAACAGTCTTGCTGCACCATGAAACCTCATATACCTTCCAATAATCCACAACTATCACAACTACCCTAACACCCCATCCAGACCAAAGTAAAAGAAAATCATTAACATCAAATTTATATAATTTTCACTTTTAATAATGGTCTCAAAGAAAATAGTTGTGCAAAAGAGTATTAAACTTTATTATCAACCAACGCAAACATATTAATTGCACTACAAGGGGAACTGTTCTAAAATTAGTCAATCATACAATTTTACGTTTGATTAAGTCTTTAACTAAAATTTAGTATATACATTCATTTCACTACTTACATTACCTACTCACATAATTAATTTTTTTTTAATGATATGCATTGCAGATTTCCTAATCTCTAGATTTGAGTGTATAAACATAATTTTATATAATTAATTGCAATGCTTAAGGTGGTGGTACATTTGAGTTTAACAGTGTATCTCACTCACCCAGAAAGAAAGTATTTATCTTAGATGGTACATTAGAGTTTAACAGTGTTTCTCACTCACCCAGAAAGAAAGTATTTATCTTAGATGGTACATTAGAGTTTAACAGTGTATCTCACTCACCCAGAAAGAAAGTATTTATCTTAGATAATTCTTTGTCGCAGAACTGGAAGAATTTCTCTGTAAACCTGGCAAAATATCTTTGTATGGTACTTGAGTCTGTCACTGTGAAAATTATAACATCAAACTGAATAACAGGCAAATTAAAAAACTTGCAAAATATCTGTGAATAGTGCTTGTTAAGAGGGGACAGCATGGCCTAGAGGTAGAGCACTAGACTGCTAACCCAAAAGTCTGGATTTCAAATCCCAGTTCAAGTCAGTAGAATCTCCCTGAGATCACCCAGCTCTGAAGGATACCTTACTGACATAAGGGAAAGAAAAAGCAGCTGAGATAGTGCTTACAACACTATTCCTTTATATACTGAGGTCACAGAAACAGGTGAACTCTACTTCACTTGCCCCATGCCCTATCAGGTTCAAAAAAGGGAACTTAACTTTTGCACTATCATTTTATCCAAGGCAATAATCTTTCAAAGCTATTCTAAAATAACTTTGCTTACAAGTGCTCAATATTAAATTAAGAATTGCACAAATGCTGGAATATTTAAAAAGTAAATGTATGCTGTAATTCAAAACATAATGAAAACAAATACAAAGAAACAAGAGGGGAATAACTGTCAGCTTATTTAAAAACAGATTTTAAAAAATTATAATTCTGTTAGTTTCTGAACAAACCTTCTGGAGAGGGGGCTTGCTCTTGTGCATCATACAACATTTCTTTCATATACTGTTGGAAAAAATTATATATTTCACATTAGTACTGTTAAGATTTTGTCTTTTTGCTCTATCAGTAGAATATTTAAAAACAACAACAAAACAAGAGCCAACTTTTGAAATAAGTTAAAAATCTTACTTCATATTGAATATACTGTTTCCTCCACTCTGGGGTGATATGAGCCCCCAGATGTTCTGCGAACTTCATCCTTGGTCAAGTAGTCAACTTAGCATTGGTCCAAACAAATTTAACACAAGCAAGATGATAAATCTAGAATAATAATAAAAATGTAATACATATATTACATAGGTAAAGATGAATAGTATTGTTAATAGCTATTATGGCTAGTACTATTGAATTTTTTTGGTTTTGTAGTTTAGGCTACATTATTTTGGTACACATTGTGATGAATGAGCAAAGTAGTAGTAATAAATTCTAATACTTATGGGCCTAATCAAGGAAATAAAAGATGAGTATGTGTAATTAATTTCAATAACTTTGTAGACTGTGTATTGCTGTAAGGTGCAGCTAATTGCAGAGGCCAAACAATAAAAATAAGGGTGGGGGTTAAAATGCCAGATGGCAAGGCAGTAGAATATATGAAGGGTGCAAAAACTGCCAATCACATGACATTTTTCTCTGGTATTTATCCCCCCCCCCCCAACACTAGCAGGTTGGGTGAGGTAAAATGAAAAATGTCTGTGAAAATTTACCTTACCCAAATTTCAACATGCAATAAACTTTCATGTAAACTTAAAACACTTTTAATTTATTATTTTTATTGTTATAAGTAGCCACAGTGCAGCAAACAATGAAACATATGTAAAGTTCAATGAATCTTATTTGCCAATTTTTACAGAATGTAATGTGCAGATAATTGAATCAACTTTTTTTATTAAGTTGACTGTGAATTATAATTAAGACAGTTCAAAGCAACTTTCAAATTTAACATTGCTTTCATGACTCATTCATTCGTTTTTCCCGATTTGTCTTCATTTATATATTTGTATTGATGTTTATTAACATTAAGTAGACCAAATAAAGTTAATATTCACCTACACATAGGCCTACATTGCTATTTAATGTTAACTATGTACAGGAACTAGGATCACACTCATGCTGTTGCCTAGAGTGGTATTCTTTGCTATTGACAAAAGAACATGAGCTTGCGGTCACGCACATGGTGATGTTTGGAACTTGCATATAGCCGCACACAGTCTGTTTCTTAAAACAATATTGGTTGAATAAAAATTTTTACATTGCGCATTTTTTCTACAATGATGCTAATTGTTGAAGATCAAAACAGATTTTAACAGAATTTGTTTTATGGATACTTTTTGACTGAGTTTATATTTAGCTAAACCCAACAAGCCTGCCAAGTGGTTGAGATCAAGCGAGGAGGGGGTTCTGTCCAGGATTCAAAGGGTTGACTCGAAATATTGTCCAGTATTCTTAATTAATATTAACTATTAATTAGGTAGTCTAAATCTAGTGTGACACAACAATGTTCAAGCTAGACTAAAGTAAACTCTAGGCCTCTAGAGAAATAATTCTACCTCTTTGAACAGACATAAGTCCTAGATCTAGAAATCTAATATTACTTTTAATAATATGATAAGGCCTACCACTAGTAATAAATAAACAGAGTGTCTATTCATCACAGCAATGACTGTTTTTGATACATTTATTGTTAAAAACACAAAAAAGCATGAAGTTGTGTGGTCGAGTGGACATGTGGGTGGCAGCTGTGCTGGATGGTGTGGGTTCGAACCTATCAAATGGTTTCATCCCTGTGACACTTATTTACTATTTTTTCATTTGTGATATTATTGCTGTCATATTTGCAGGAAAGAAAAAGGGTGGGCGTGGTCGATTCGGTAAAGCCCATGGCTGCTAAACCTAAAAGTCTCGAGTTGGGTGAGGGTAATTGTCCTTCATAAGCTACTGATAGTGTTTTAAAGCAAAATATTTTCAGTCGCAGCATTGGTAGTGTCGAACCCACAAATTATGAATTACTGAAAAATAATAGACAGTAAAACAAATAAATAGAGGCGTATGCTACATCGCGGGTCAACTAGTAAAATTATAATCTATTATTTTAACTGTTGTCTGATGAGAGTTGTTTGTAGAGCAGTGAGTGATTGAGTAACTGAAGTGTGAAGCATTCACATTTTTATTTTTAGTAGCGCCTACTTACTAGATCTAGACTTACACTTTATTTACTTAGTAAAGTGACTTTACACTAACACTGTAACTAAGTGTAACTGTACTTACTTTACTAACTACTACTACTAACTACTAGATCTACTACTAATACTAATAAACTAATACAATAGTAATAAACTAAACACAACACAGCTGAGTTTTACCACACACACCTGAGTTGTTTGTAGTTTGTAGAACAGTGTGTAATGTGTTCAGGTTTTTTTTTAATGTATAGATCTAGACTAGATTCACATTGTTTGCTTTTATTTTTAATGATAAACATTTAGATCTATCTAGCCTAGATCTAACAACAGCATCTAGAAATCTAGATCTAGATCTAGATTCTAGGCCTAAATGAAATTTTTTTCTATTTTTGTTTACAAAATGTTTTACAGGAAGCGGATGTACATCTACGTCATTAACTCTTAAACTTTAGCCTAGATTAGGCATAGACATAGAACTAACCTTACGTTAGAAGATCTCCATATCTATATGGGCCTACTGCTAAAAACAAAGTAATAAAAACGTCTGTTCAAAATGTATAGCGCATGTAAACAGCTTAATAGTCAAATATTATAACTGTAGATAGCCTAACAGAATGAGAAAAAATAAATAAACAAAACCTTGACATTATGGTCTTAGTCTTAGGTTTAATAGAGAGCTTGTTGATCACAAGTTGGCCCAGGTATAATATAGATCTATATATTATTCTAGTACTATAATTTTAAATTTAGGATCTAGATCTTGGTTTAATATGTGGTTGGGATAAAATTGAAGTTATTTATTATTACATAATTTCTGGGCAGATGAGGCTGGTTAGCTCTGGGGATCTATCGAGGGGAGAGAACCCGAAAAAAAAAACAATTTAGTGCTACCGTGCAGATTGTTCTTGGAAGTTGGATGGACAATTCTAGTCTACGTGTTTATTAATTATCTATCGGAGCACTTCCACCCCCTTTCCACGGACGACATAGAAATATATAGATCCCGGTTATTTTTACCAGTGTTAACCAGTGTCTCTATGCAGTGGCGTAGCGAGGTCGGGTGACACCAGGTGCGGCACTTAATGGTGTCACCACCCCCCCCCACCCCCAGAGGCGTAGCGACTCTTCCCGGGAACAAACTTTCAATTTTCGATTTGCACCCCCCCTCGAACTTTCGATTTGCACCCCCCTCAAACTTTCGATTTGCACCCCCCTCGAACTTTCGAATTGCGCCCCCCCCCCGTCAAACTTTCGATTTGCAACCCCCCTCAATCTTTCGATTTGCACCCCCACCCTCAAATTTTTCTCTATATATTTTACTATTTTTTGCCTTGGTGTCACCCCCCTAAATGGTGTCACCTGGTGCGGTCCGCCCCCCCCCCCCGCTACGACTATCTCTATGGAGAAAAATGCCATAGACACACAGTCATGTGCACGTGTTAAAAAACTCATGTGAAGCTCTGAAGCGAAAGATACGCTCTGTACACACAGGCAAAAGATTGGACTTCACGTGTAACAAAACACACATGCGCAACCCTGAAGCTAACACATAACACATTTGTATTTCTATCTCTAACTCCATACTGTCTTTGAAAGCAGAGGCGTAGCGACCCTTCCCAGCGCCCGGGGACATACTTTCCATTTGGCGCCCCCTTGGGAACAAATTTTCGATTTGCACCCCCCACTCGAACTTTTCATTTGCACCCCCCCCCCCCTCAAACTTTCGTTCCCCTCGAACTTTTCATTTGCACCCCCCTCAAACTTTCAATTTGGCGCCCCCCCCCCTAAGGTCGGCGCCCGGGGACATATGTCCCCCCCTCGCTACGTTACTGTTTGAAAGGCTTAATTTTAGTAAAGAAAGTTAAAATAAGGTTAAAATAGACCCTCGGGGGAGGGGGTAAGTAAAGTATATATATATGTCAGTGCTCCCCCAAAGATATGCCTGAAAGAAACTCCGAGGACGAGGCAGAGGTGTAGAGGTGGAACGGTCTAGATCTATTAAATCTATGTATACATGTTTACTGAAGAAACCAGTTCAGTCCGGACAGACCACACCCCCACCTGTCGCTTCTTTAAAATTTGGTTGCATTATGCAGAGCTAACCCCCCCCCCCCCCCCCCCAACGGACAATCGTCCGCGGATGTTGGCCTCTAGATTACAGCTAATAGTTGAATATCACGCCATAATTTGGGGTAATTTGCACAGACTGACTGCAGCTTAACTAATTTATCGAGGAGGGAGGGCATGTTTCAAAATGGTGCATGATTGCAGTTAAATATTGGCTTAGCAGCGCTGATGGGTAGAAATAACACCCTGCACTTTAAAAACTGTGACAATAAGTTTTTTTTAACCAAAAATACATGTACACAAAAAGTACACACTTATTTCGAGTATGTGGCCAAGGGCATTGGTAATCTACATGGAAACATGTGCAGACTCAAGTGACCCACTGAAGATAAACTTTATTCAGTTGACTTGTGAATAATCGCTGTTAGGTTGCCATAAATAGTAGCATTGTTCTATTGGACATTTTAAGATATAATTTGTTTTGACCTTGACTTGGTCCTATTAGCTCCTAATGGAACTCACGGCTTCCAGCATTTCCTTCCATTTCATCCGATCCTCGGCTATAAATTTTGCAGACTCCCAAGACATCCCTGTTGGCTTCAGTTCTTCGAGAAGACTCCGCCTCCAGGTCTGTCTTGGGCGCCCTCTCTTCCTTTCTTTTGTTGACCACAAAAAATAAAAGACAGTAAGGTAACTATCAGAAATCAGCATTCTTTTGCTACTCATATGAACAGTGATTCTTCCAGGCTTTATTCTCGAGGGGGGTGGGAGGGCGGACACTGGTAAAAGTATGTTTTCTATATAAATTCCATTTTGTTTCGGGGGGGGGGGGCGAAGAGATGCCTGTAAGAAATTCAGGTAAACAAATAAAAATACATTTTCTTAAGTTGACTATAGGAAATAGACGTCATTTAGGTGATTATAAGAAATAAAGTTTTTTATTATGTTGACCAAATGAAACATTTGGCTATCTGAAGTAAATTTTCATCTGTGATTGTATGTAAGAAATGTTGAGCCGACTAGTGATTTACACACAGCCTTACCAACACCTGTGTTGAACGTCAACAATTTGTCTTCCCTTGTCACCCGTGTTTCGTTTTCCTTGATAGGGAATATCCTTTAACTGAATGAAAACTATTTTCCAACCCTCTGGCTAGTTGATTGATTAACCAGACTAATCAACGAGTGGGACGAGGGAGACTGTATGTATGATGGGGTGTGGGTGATCTTGTTCATTATTAAAGTGCTCTACAGAGTGTTTACTTTTTACTGACAGTTTCATGTGCTACTAATTGTAACATGTTACATGGTGACATAGATGTGAAGTCGAATGATACCTTTTTTAAAGTTCGGTTCTCGAGATTTGAATAATAAAACATTTATTTCTGTACTTTGCAATTACTTATCGTCGTCAAAGTTACAAACAGTGTTTCTTCCAGGGGTCTCTTCGGGGGATCTTCGCACCCCCCCCTCCGAAGAGAGTCTACCGCCCCCCTCCCCCCAAATGAAGTGGAATTTATATAGAAAATATATACTTTTAACAGTGTCCGCCCCCCCCCCCTCTAAAATTGCCCCGCCCCCCCGGAGAAAAAAGTCTGGAAGAAACACTGGTTACAAACAGCAATAGACGCTTTATAACTATAAAACAATCCAACTGCGAGGCCCAACAAATTAATCTGTATTTTTACAAGCTTTTATCACTTCCTCTGTCGTCAGTCTAGATCGAAACGCCGGAGCGAAAATTCGGACACTTCTAACTGACAGATACGGTTCGTAATTGGTAAGTGGGTCAAGACATGACGACAATGCTTTGTGGCATTAAATTTGACTTAATTGGATGCCTAGTTAATTTTTTATGAATTAATTAAAATTTGGACCGAATTAGTAGGCAGTTATATCCACATGCGTCATCACGGCGGTGTTGGGCGTGAAGCGAGGGGGGGGGGGGGCTCTAGGTCAAAAGGGCGTCATCACGTTTGCGCGATGGTTTTTAGTCGGGTCAGCAGTCTAGTTCTTTACCACTAAACTACGCCATCCCATAAGCTATAAGCTTGACAATGATTTTTAGTCATGTAACTATTGTAAATAAAACATGTAGAGTACTGACAAAAAAATTCAAAATTTGCTTTATAAATGTTTTGTATGCCGTTCAAGCCACAATTCAACTGCTGACAATAGTAGATTTTTTTTATGTGACAATAAAAATAATAAATCCTTGAGATTTATTTTGTTACCTGAACGATGTTTTATATTGTGATTTCTTTTTTTTTTTTTCAGAACTGTACGAAATGAAATAGTGTTCGATAGAATTATATCACCTACTCTGGCAGTGTCACCTTAGAAATAACTTACAATTCATCATTACGTTATCATTACAATTGAAACGCGTACACAGCAGAATGAAATTGGTTTTATATTGGTGTAACTTGGAAGATGTCCCGAGTACCCCCCTCCCCCCCCCCCCCCCACCCCCCTCTTCTAGACATCTAATGGGTATCGGATTCTAGTTCAGGGAAGTTAGTGACATCTTTCTGGACTTCTTGAAACCGAGGTCAGAGAATCAGTCGGGCTCTAATTCATCCCTTCATCTGATCTGTAAGGGAACATTACAAAAATTAAAAAGTAAAAGCAAAAAAGCTGCGTCGTGAGTTAATAGTTAATAGCAGCTACAGAGTTAATCTTAAACAAATGTATTTGGAGCAGTTTGGAGCTATGTTTATATTGTTCAAATATAGCCTATACCGTATTTGAAAATCCACAAACAATTACACATACGCTGCTTACATGACGCACCGCCTGATATTATAAAAGTAGAGAAAAAATAAATACCAACAGCAGCCACACCTACTCTATAGTTCTGACATTACCAATTATTACCAAAATTACCAATTACCCTTTCAATGCACTGATGACGTAATCAAAACTTCGCTCGAAACATTAGGTGTGGTCGATTAAGCAACAGTAAAAAAAAAACAACAACCCAACAACCAATGAAATTTTTAAATTAATTTATTTGTCCGACTTCACTGTCTGAAGAACGATTGGCAACCTATCAATACCCACATCACGTGACCACCGGCTAGGGTTGGGGCCTGCCTGCTCCATCCATCAATGTCGCACTTGAAGGAAGGGACCCATCAAACCCGTCTTGACATCCCCCCGGCGCATGCACTGGTTAGGTTGGTAAACACGCGCTTCTGCCTGCAAACAGTCACGTGAACATTACTTAGGCCCAACTAAAGTTTAGCGATCAACTTCAGGGCACACAGATCAAGAAGGATAAGGTTAAAAAATATTTAAACAATTCTTCAAAAGAAAATTTAAAAT